ATTTATATATGCTCAGCTAGTCATATATCATGTATGAAGATATTTAAATTTATTCTACTATTTTTAAATTCTGAATAGAATTTTTAATATAATTATAAATTCAGATTATAAATATTAATCAGTTCCCTCTCTTCCATTCTCTCCCTCTTCTCTCACTTGACCATTGGACGTTTGAGTTTCGGAAAATCGCCAGATTGGCGCCACTGTATTACTACCTTGAAATCCATCCGTGCTGCGAGAGATCATAAGGGTTCCGAGCTTGGCAGTTCATAAATTGTCGTGGATGTGGGTGCATGTTGGGAGAACTCCATCCAAGGCACTATCATTCACGGAGACAGTGAGGTTGGTTCGTTTATTTGCGTCGCAAATAACGCTGGTGAACGAAGAGGAGACGGATTACGTTCGATTTTTCTTTTTCTTTCTTTATCTCTTTTTGCTTTATCGCGAAGCATCTCTCTCTAGTTTTTTTCCAAGAAAAATGAGAGAAAATAAGATATTTTTGGCCACTATGGGTGCGCAAGCGAATCAACCGTGACGTGATCTCGACGGACGATGACGTGCGTGAGCGAATTGATGATTAGCTTGTTTGTTTCGTAGCCTCGTAATGGCTATCTTCGTAATTATAGGAGTAAATAAAGCACGGGTTTATCTGACGGGTGCACGTGTCGATATAAAAAGACAAAAAAAGAGGCAAAAAAGTTAACAAAGTCGATCGGACTCGAAATTAGTAAACTCTTTCGTTTATTACCACGACTTATATTTATTTTCACCAATAGATTAATTTCGGTTCAACCTTTTTTAATTAAAAAAAAAAAAAAAGCATAAGGAATAGATTGACCGAGATTAAAGTTAGTTTACAAATGGATATTAATCCGCACGGCCGCGACAGTTCTCTATAATTATTTGTATTCCCGATTCTCCTGTTAATGCCTAATTGATAATCCCTTATGATCCTGTTAATCCTTTATGATCCTTTATTTCCTACATAGGTATATACATTTGTTTCACGTCGCTGCTCTACGTTAATGCACTTTGCCCGGCGACTTCCTCCCGGCCATCCCTCCCGGAGTCACAACCGCAGCGCAAATAGAAAAATAAAATTTATTTCAAAACGTCAAGCGGCCCTTAGGATGACTCCTGGCACCGACATCTTGATCAATCGCCTTGGCAAACGTCGCGAGAGTCCAAAGAACGTCCGAGAGAGCGGGCACGTCTTTTCTAAACATTTCCATGTCATTCGATCATTGATTGTGTTTTTTTTTTTTTTTTTTCCCTATTACCAATCTCTCCTATCGCTCAGGATATAATTAATTTCGCGATAAGAAATGTATCAAGAGGGGAAATTGAGTTGACCCAAAACAATCGTCGCTGACGTAGCTTGACACCTTCAATATATTCAACGATTGGAATTACTTTTTGACAGCCAGGAAATGATGATTCAGTTTTTTAATATTATTTTAATTAATTAAAAATACTTCACGGACGAAGTTTAGAGCGATAAAAATCTCGACGTAATCGTTAGTCCGTTATCAACAATGAATATTATATTTTTACAAAATTATGCTTTTGATAAAATTAAGTTCCCTTTATCGTTAATAAGCCTTGCAATCGTAAGTAATCGTGGCGTTTATTGGCCGCATACTGAAATTGTAGACGTTTGTTTGTCTCCCCGCATCGTGTGACAGCTTTGCACATGATAATCCTCGCACGGGTCTTACACATCGTAATTTGTTTCCCACGTGTTCCAGCAGCGCAATCAATCCGCTTCACTTGCCGTCCGTCTCCCGCTGCGATTCTCTCGTATATATATATATATATATCTCTCCGTTCGCAAATAAATTTTCAAGTGTCGATAACAAGTACGTTACGTAATATCCTCGCATTTTCACGGTGTCACGTTTCACAGCGGATTGTGGTCGCTCGGTTGAGAATTAAATTTAATTTTCGTAGAGATCGGGAGACTTCCGAGCCGCTGTTCACGAAGTCAACGTTGACCGTGAATCGCTTTAGATTTTTCTTTTTTTCTTTTCTTTTTTTTTTTTTTTTTTTTTTTTTTTTCTTTACCGCACACTAGATATTTTTCTTATCAATAGAATTACCGGAAGGAAGAGAAAACTAGATGTGAACGATCGGAACGATCTGAAATCAATCTTCGGCTCGAATCCATCGGTCGGTCCATCCTGTCTTGTATCTCGTTGTGTCTTAATAAAATTCCGGACATTCAGATTCGGGTGAGATTGCAGATCAGCAGCATTGTTTGCGGATGGAGTCTTGTAAACGCCAGGAATCCCGGAGTATTCTGAAAATACTTCAAGATCCCCGATCCGCCTTATGAGGCGGATTATTTACTCTTCGAATTTTCACGCTCTGCAAATCTCTGATTGCAGATGTGCCCTGCCTTAATCTTCAGTTTTTCCTGTACGAAAGGATGCTCGTATTTTCTCCGCAGAGTTAAATATATATATATAGTAGTAGCTTATCTCGAGTGATGTTCGTCATATGACTTTGCAATTCAGCCATCTGCTGCTCCGTGTATCTTTTCAATGTATAACAATTATCCGTGTGTAATGTACGATAAGAACTCGTATACAGAGGAGAGAGAAAGAGAGAATGTCAAAGAGGTTTTTCCGGAAAAGGAAAAGGCTGCAATTGTTCAAGATGATTTGATAAATATTATCTGAGAAAAAAAATGTTTGATATTTCTCGGCCATTATTTCAAGCTCGATACGAATATTGAATATTCCGGAAGAAAATTAAAAATTTCTCTAATCGATATGTATAAAAAAATTAACGTGTCAGTCTGAAATGAAAATTCCTTTTTATCGGTAGAAATTTATATATTCATCCTTATTCACCCCCCCCCCCCGCAAGAGTGAGTTTTACAGTCTTAATAAAAATGAGCATGTCAGCATCGCGAAGCAGAAAAGTGATATAAAGTAAAAATGAAATGGTGTCTTCTAGTTTATGTCAACAATCTCGCCCCTATCTTATCTAGATTTTTATCAGCGAGGATTTCTTATATCTCGCGTTTCTAATCTCTCGCCGGAAAATAGGAGATAATCTAGCCCCGTCTTGCAAATCCCTTGCAAAACTCTAATTGGCACAGGCAAAATCGAATAAGACGAGACTTCGAGGATATTTTTGATCTGTCATATATAGATTTGAAAAGTGATTATCTAATTTGCATGTACGCACCTCATACGCGAAGATATCTATGTACGAGCTGTTATGCAACTATTGCTAAGTTACCCTCCTTTTCTCGGTATCATACGCTTTATAAACACTTGCGATTGATAATGAGAAACTACACGCAACACGTTCGCAAAGAATGCAAAAAGTGCAGGTGAAGATAACTCTTATCAGGTCACAACACAAATCGTCTCTTTCTTTATTCTAATTCTAATTTGTTTTATTCATCATGCAAATTACTCTTAGTTTTGATATTTTAAAAACTGTTAAACGGTTAGATTTAACAGTTGTTGAAAAGTTTTTTCAATTTTCGAAAAAAATCGTCTCGTCTTTTGTTTCTTCGGGAAATAGAAATTTTCTTTACTCTTCTAATTGTTATTCATCAAATTAGTAATTTTGACTTTTAAAAGCTGTTAAACGGCAAATTTAACAAGTTGATGAAAAGCCTTCCATTTTGGGAAAAGAATCGTTTCGTCTTTTGTTTTTCAAGACATTTTCTCTATTTTTTAATGTGATTTCTAATAGGATATATATATAGAATATATAGGACATTTTAGCGTTCCGAACATCTTTGACGCACGGATGATAATTACTTTTTTTCGGTTTATTTACGGACGGTTTATTTAGTTAGAGCTTTCCCTGCTTACAGAATACAAGCGTTATAGTTTGTACTTTGATCTCACTGACGTCAGCATTATCTAACTATGAGCAAACGATAATATTAAATTTAAATCTCTCAATCTGTTTTTTTTAGGATCCACGCGATTCATATCGCTCATCATTATCAGAATACAGCACAGTCATTCTCCATTCAAATCCGTTTTTTTTTATCGATATTTTTTTATATTCGTTTTACACGATAATAAATTCAAGAGCTCATCATATTGTAGAACTGATCATAGATATTGACATTGTATCGTACAATTTGTAAATGAAGTGAATGATAATTTTTAATCGGACATTGATTGGATAAGAAAATTGTAATTTTAATGAGGAATTACTAAATTAAATTAGAAAAAATATCTATGGAACATTTTTGACAACAAACATTTTTTAAAATATTTAATCTCTTTTAATCCCATTATATTCCTAGTTTTTTTTTCTGTTCGTATCGATCGTAAAGGGTCTCACAAGAGATCCAGAAATGTTGTGCTCACTTATTGGTTGTCTACTTGAAATTTCATAAAGTTAATATGTTTACAGCTGTTTATCTCTTGTATCGGTTCGTGTACGTCAGCGAAAAGCGAGACGACGATCTGTATGAGAGGACATCGGGTAACGGAGCTGTAGCAGGCCGTGCCAGAAATGAGCGGGCATGCAACCCGTCCCAGCGAGGGTCGTCAAGCGGTTCTCGAACGCATTCAGGTGTCCGTGCTACCGATCGCTGGGAAACACGCCACGTCGACGTTGCCCGCCACGTCGGCTTCCCCAATGGAAAGACAAGATGCGGATATTACGGTAAGAAAAAAATAATTGGCTATACTTCTTAGCTGTAAAACCCTGTAATGTAAACGGATATCTATGTACAGAATAAGATATATCACATTTACATAAATTTACATAAATACATAAATTATTATAAATAAATAACGTAATTATCTTATAAATTATAGTACAGAAGTTTACATTCATTAAAGACATTTCAATATTATTTAATTTAAAAATAATTTTATATATATATATATATATATATGCAATTTATAATTATATAATTATATAATAATTTATATATATGCACGTTATATGCAATTAATCCTTTTTAATATGGATTGAAAAATATATATTATGATATGATTTATATTTAATATTTCGCTCGTTTTATTCACCTTTTATTCTTTTTTCAATTTATTTATTAAATACGAGTCGTTTTTTTATTTCATTTAATCTTTTACTGGCATAACTGTCATAACTGGCATAACAAAAGGTAATGTGGTGTTTACATGTATTGCAGAGCAAACAGAAAAAATGCACTGGAAAGGAGATTTCGAATACTCAAAGAGTTTGGACAAGTCTGGTGTCCGGTGCGATAGCGGGAGCTTTGGCAAAGACTACAATAGCACCGTTGGACCGTACAAAGATCAATTTTCAAATTTCGAAACAGCCGTACTCGGCCAGGGCGGCGATAGGATTCTTAAGTACGGCGATGCGTACCGAGGGTCTTCTCAGTCTGTGGCGTGGGAACAGCGCCACTATGATTAGGATAGTGCCATATTCAGCGGTGCAGTTTACGGCGCACGAACAGTGGAAAAGAATCTTGAGCATAAATGGCATGGAAAGGTATTGCATTGAAAATTCAGAAAGATTTTTAACAAAGGACTTTACATAACTCAAATACAGGTATTGTAGATCCCTGTATTTGAGTCCTATATAACGAATTATTTATAGGAAAAAGCCGTGGGCAAGCTTCCTGGCCGGCGCGTTGGCGGGAGTAACGTCACAGACCATGACCTACCCGTTGGATTTGATGCGGGCGAGAATGGCGGTAACCTTGAAGGCTGAGTACAAGACTCTGCGGCAGGCGTTCTCGCGAATGTACAAAGAGGAAGGGATCCTGGCGTACTACCGTGGCTTCACCGCTACGATCCTCGGCGCGATTCCCTACGCCGGCTGCAGTTTCTTCACGTACGACATGCTGAGAAACTTACTGAGCGGTGAGTTGTCCGTTTCCTTCACACGATGAATTTCCTTGATGCCCGTCGACGGTGGCGGTGCTTGTACTCACATATACATACATACAATACATACACAACATGCGAAAGAAAGACAGTCGAGGGTTATACGAATGAGAGTGGCTGTTGTATATGATCGTAAAGCAGGGTACCGATGGGGCACGTCGGGGGCACCCTGTTTCCCCTGATATTGGGACGGTACTAACTTTAATAGCGACGCGAGACAAGCCCGACCGGCGGCGTATTTCGAAGTGCTGCGTGCTTCATGTTCGATGATGGCTACGTGTCGATGAACAGTGTACACGGTGACTATTCCGGGATTCTCGACCTCGCTCATTTGCGGCGGCATCGCTGGAATGGTCGGTCAGACAAGCAGCTACCCCTTGGACATTGTGCGGCGGAGAATGCAGACGTCGGCGATCAAGGGTCAGCATTATCACACGATCACGTCCACTGTCATGAAAATTTACACGTAAGCATTTTTACATCATTTATATCCATTTTCCACATCATCATTTATATCTATTTTTACCAATTTAGATTAACTTTAATCTTGATTTAATTTGCTCTATCTTTTTCTAATTCTCAAAAGAAGATAAAAATTAAAAATGAGATTAATTTACATTGGTAGAAATGGATATTAAAGATAATAAAGATAAGTAAAGCATAACAAAATTGTTTTATGTTGAATAAATTACATTATTAAAGTCAATATACATATATAAAAACTAAAAAGAAAACACTTAAATATTTTTCTTACATCTAAAGAAATAATTATTTAACTAAATAAATTTAATATTTACAATATTATAAAAATCGATACATTTAATAGTACATTTTGTTATTTTTTTTATAATTTTTATACAAAATTTATATTAATAAATTATTATTGGGCATGTTATAGGGAAGAAGGAATAATGGCTTTTTACAAAGGCTTAAGCATGAATTGGGTGAAGGGTCCTATTGCCGTTGGAATTAGTTTTGCCACACACGATACAATACGGGATACATTGAGGACAATTATTTGTGAAGATACATAAAACTAATGGAACACTGGGCAAAATCTAGAGTTATTATAGAGTAGTAATAACCAATAATTATTGATTACACTTATAATTAATAATTATTAATTAACAGTGGTGTCTAAATAAACCTATATAATTGTTAATTATTATTCATAATTAATAATTATATAATTTCCGTGTTTAACATAATTCATTTTAACAGTGGGTAAAAATGTCTTCAAAATTTCGCTTGACAAAGAAAACGAAAACATGCACAAATCATTGTCGATGACAAGGGCATAAAATAACATTGCAGTAGCTGCATTATAACGATGTGACAAAGAGAATAGTTAATTTGTTATTTTGTGAGAGCATTTTGCCAAAAGCAACACAAGATGTCGTTAGTACAAATTGTTAAATATTATGTACATATTGTTATTCCAAACGTTATAGAAATCGTTTTTAAAAAGTTAGAAAAACATAATACATATAGATGTGCATAGCAGTATAGCAAATTGTAATATACGCGTTGTATATTAGTCCGGCAATATGAAAGTATGATTTTCTGGTTTGCCTTGATTATCATTGAGTATAATTAGACACGATTTATACAAAGATATGATTTTTCTGACTTGCCTTAATCGCCTTGCAAACTCTAAGATAAAAGCGAACAAGCTGTAATTTGCATTCGGGATTATATGTGTATTCAGATAGCAATCTTTTAAGATATTTTTTACTTTGGAAATCAAAATACTCAAGATAATTCTTGATGATAATTTTCATAAACTTGTGTAAAATATAGAAATATTGTACAGTTTTTAATGTAAATTGCGCCGGAGATATTCAAAGTATACTTTATTCAATCATTATACTTGTTACGTAATCGATTCGTTTTAGCTCTGCAAAATGACTAATTTATATTTTATTTTTTAATAGATTGCAATCGATAGCGACAATAAAGTTTAAAACTCGAAACATCATAAAAAGATTCGATATATTATATTACTCTGAATCTATGTTACAATTAATTATCGATATTATTAGTTTTAAAGAATGATTTGTAATTTTTATTTTACAGCCAAATACTTTTAAATACCTTGTACATACTCCTAAATGGTATACTATATTTTATGTTAAAAATTGAATTGTAAAATTAATTAATGTAATAGAAAATAAAGAAGGAGGAAAGCATTTTGTATCGGTCGAAAAGAGATTACAGTCGATGCAAAAAGTCGTTGCCTTCTCTATATTTTGCAATACTTTATGCTTAAACAGATTTATTTAACAAATTGCTATCTTTTCGATAATGCATACTTATTTTTTAGCTATTGATTTTTGAAAATTTCCAGAATTCATGTCAATTACAACATATGTATCATATAAAAGTTTATTCCTTAAAATTGTGTAGCTTGTTTGCGATCATTGTATTGATTATATATAATGTAAAGTCATTTAGTAAATATATAAATTTTATACAGTGTATACGAAATTTTTTATTTCAGCCTCACTGTATATTTTTATCTCTGATTTTATTAAAAGTAGAAAAACTTGATTTTAAAACTTTTAGAAAAACTTGATTTTAAAATTAAATATACATACATACATCCACATACATACATGATATAAACTAGATTACAATATTAAATTGATATGCAATTTATGCATAAATTAGACGATTGTATTTAAGTAAATATATATTACATACTTATATCAATATGCTTGATATAAATGTATCGTAAATATATAATTATATTCGTGAATCAATATATTTATATCATATATAATTATATATTTGATATAAATGTACCAACTCTTACAATAAATAGGCAGAGACTTATTATCAAAACCTATTGAAAAAAAGTATTATGATATATTGAAATGTGAATACGAAAATATTGTAAAAATCTATACAGGTACAGGTCTAATTTATTTTTTGAAAATCGGAAGATATATTTTTATATAAAACGTAGCGCTCATTTGAACTTATTGTAAGTTGACACAACATGTTATTTTCAAATGCATATAAATTAACATGGTCCGAGCGAGTATTTATTTACAATTATTCACAGTGCGCTTCTAATTCTATTCGTTCAATTATCTATTTCAATGTATGGAATCCATGAGTTTTTTCCTAATCATTTTGTCACTGTACTTGTATTTTTTATGAACTTGTTTATTTCGGTTTGGTTTCCTGGTCATTGACATATCTTATGTAAATTTCTCGTTCGTCACTACCACCCGGTGGAATCTCGGCTTCGTTCAAATAGGATACGCCTATCGCAAGGACAGAACCATCGTGGCTAAAACTAAGTGCAGCCACACCAGCGTTATATCGATGAAACTGGCATAATCGTTTCTTATTAAAACCATCCCAGATGTTTACGTAGCCATCCGAGCCACCTGTGGCAAATGTATTGTATGCAGAATGGAAGCTAATAGCATTTACTGGATAGATATGTTCGACATTGTTTTCCTTTATTCTATGACATTTAAACGCATATTTCTTCTTCTGGGCTTCTGGCATTGTATCAAGATACTCGACGGCAACTCGACCCTCTATACTGCTTAATACATATCCCTAAACACATAAGAATGATTAAAAAAATGATAAATATAAAAATATAGATATGTTTAATACAAATAACATTAGATAAATCATGCGAGCGATTGTAAATAGACATACCTGTTCGTTCGGAAAACCTTTGATGCAGCGGGTTTGATATTTTAAACTACTTTCTCGTCTTTGAAACATGCCTGCCATATTTCTTAGATCCCAAATGCAAACTTTTCGTTTTGCTGTGCCTACTACAAATTTGTCGCCACACACAGACAAAGCAAGGACTACATCAGGTTGCAAATAACTACCAACGCAAGTAGGCGTTCGTGGATCCCATAATTTTACCGCAGCATCCCAACCACCAGTCAGTATTGCATTTACTGCTGCACAGTATTCTATTTTTCTGATTGGTTTCTCATGTGTACCCATTATCGATTCTACAAAAAAAATATTTTCAATATATATTTCTGATTTTATGAAAATATAAGTAAAACAATAAAATTAAGGAAAATGATTACCAGTATTGCTATTTATATCATATATTTTTAAAGTATTTCCTAAACCACCGCTATATGCATGAACAGCATCCTGCAAATAGTTGTATAATAAAGAAAATCATTAGAATAAAATTATTAGAAAAATCTTTAGGAAACATTAAGTCTATATTAAGTCTATTTATAAAATACAATGTTTAAAGATCATGATCTCTATTCTCAAGTCACTTTTATCAATAATGCTTCTACAAGTGACTTAAAAGCTATGTAATTGGTCAAGAAGCTTTACTTTAAAGTACTTTTATTGAAGCCAAAACATGAACTAATATTTCTTTAACTTATTAAACAAAAATTATACAATAAAACAAAAAAGGAGTAACTTACTTGAAACGCAACGTCTAACACTGGCAAATCGTGATTGTATTTCAATCTCATCGTGTTGGCATGTATGTCATATAATCGTACTGTACTATCCCATGATGACACTAATAGGAACTGTGTAGAATTTGGTCCAAATTCCACCGCGGAGATCGCGTCAGCCGGCGGTGATTTTATTTTAAACTCAGTCCTGGACTCCATTCTGTCAGAGAAACATAGCGTTAAGTTACTTAAGTGAATGTTAAGTGAATGTTAAGTGAAGTTTGCCAACATTAGATATCTCTAGATTTATTAGCTCTTTTTCTTCTCAATTATAACTTCAAAATTGTAAACAGCTGTGATATAAGTGAAAGAGAAGCATTTTTTTTACTAGAATTAATCAGTATCGATATAAACCGAGTGTCTTGTCTCTAAAAATGAATCTTTGTAAACACAAACTAACCTAACAATCCTGATGAGCGTACACTCGGCCAGAATTTCTCATGTACTTACTCAATACGAAGCAGTTGGGTAGTGCTAAATTAAAAAGGAAACTCCTAATTCGTATCTAATATGAACGCTCGCAACTAATGGATACGTAAAATCTTCGATATGATTAAAAAAGAGAATTTGAAACAACACGATTATCGCGGTAGGAAGCCCCTACCACATTTCATCCCCCTTCCATCTTTTCTTCCATTCGAAAACCCTGTTTTTCTTCTTGCGTAACCAACGTCAAGGATAGCAAATAACTATGAAAAAACCAGATGCGATAACTAGTTACAAATAGAAACTTCTAATAAAAGTCACGACAGCCGTTTTTATTAGTCCATCGTTTTTTAACAATTTTTTATATTCGAATATCTGTATTGTTTATATTCGAATATCTGTATTTATATTATTTTTAATTTAAACAAAAATTAGAAAATAAACATTTTAAAAATATTAACAAATAAATTGTATATATTATCTCAATACACAACTAATAAATAACTAATAAATAAAACTGTTCATATTTAATATATTTTTTTATAAAATACAATATTCGCTATTTCGAGAAAACATTTTTATCATGTAGCTTTTGACTATAAAATTGTTGCAAAAGAAAGCGCACCCCAAACATTTTTCAGTAATCTTGTTCAAATGTGTTTGCTTCAACTTATTAGGTTTATATTTAAATTAAAGATGTGTGAAAATTAAAGAAAGACATAATTTCTCTCTTTCTCTCTCTCTCTCTCTCTCTCTCTCTCTCTTTCTCTCATGTGTTTTAAAAATTAGATTCTGCATAGAAAGAGAAGTTTCTCATTAGAGTTTTCGTTTCTTGTATCGTGATTTTTATTAAGCTTATATCCACGTGATACTAAAAATCGATCTGAAATCTCGGATGGAAAGAGAATTAGTCAATTGTATTTGAATAATTCGGCCAATTAACCAACGATTAGTCAAATCTCATTCCGTCCGTGATCTTGGACCGATTTTTAGCATCGTGACACAAGCGGGGAGGGGGACATCTAGTTACAAGTAAATGACCAATCGTCTTTTGCGACATACTCGCCATAATTGAAAAGTAGGGATCCGTTCCGTTTTACACATCGAGCGCATAGATAGCAGACACTGAGCTGTGGACATGGATAGCGTTCCGTTTCGCTAATGCGCAATATGCGCGCTTAAAAATGGAACGATTTAAATGCGTTTGATGCAATTTGAATAAAATTTATTAATAACAGTGACGGTGAAAATGAAAAATTTACCTTAAATAAAGAATTAGAGATATTATATCTCATTTTAATGGTTAATACTACGCGGGGAGAAATAATCGTATCAGAAAAATTATCCGATTATGTCGAAAGAGTTATTCCCAGTTATGAGAATAGCATTCAAAGAACATCTTCAGTGAGTAATAATTATTGAATTAAAATTAAAAAATAGGACGAAATTTTTCATTAAATAATATGATCATAATCTAAAAAAATAACAATTGTAAATAATTAAAACATATAGTTTTATACTGGATTTATTTTATATTGAACTTTTTTAAAAAGCAGCTAGTATCGTTAATTGATTTATGGCTACGCCTGATTTAAAAAAACGCAGGCGCGCATAACTTGCTACAAGTTTTACCTAATGCGTTCCTCATGCGCTAGGTGGGAATTTAGGGAATACCATGCATTATCAATACGCGCATTAGTGTCGGTCCACAATAAGTATTTAATCTTTAAGTCGTAAGAAATTGACCAATCATAGTCGATTATTCTTTTCATATTCGATTATAATTGGTCAATTTCTTACTTCTTAAAGCTTAAATCACCTATTGTGGATCGACACTTAGATGAAATGGAACGATTGTTTAGTGTCGGTCCACAATAGGTGATTTAAGCTTTAAAAAGTAAGAAATTGACCAATTATAATCGAATATGAAAAGAATACTCGACTATGATTAGTCAATTTCTTACAGCTTAAAGATTAAATACTTATTGTGAACCGACACTTATGCGTGAAACGGAACTACCCTAAATCTTGTCACGCCATTGGCTGTGTTCAGCAGAGAAAGCAGATCAGTGAGCGTACAGTGATTCTTTATTATGATTGGTTTTTACACTTAGATTCGAAGATCTAAAGACAAGGACCAATCATATTGAAAAATCACTGAGCGCTCACTACTTTCTCTGTTGAAGCAGCCATTATTTCTTAATGTACCTAACTTCATGCGATAGCATTACGACGCCGCACAGGACAGACACGAGTGTTTCTCATAATTGTGTCCAACGTTTCATCGAAATGGCGGAGAAATCACGTCGAGTGGCGCAAACAGAAGATTTATCAAATGTCGAGTTTGAAACCAGCGAGGATGTCGAAGTTATTCCCACCTTCGACAATATGGGCCTTCGCGATGAGCTATTACGCGGGATTTACGCGTATGGTACGTCATTTATTACTTATTGCATTGACCTAACCTCAATTTCGGCGCGACTTTAGATCAAGTCGTAAATTATATTTTATATCATATTTTAGATCAAGTCGTAAATTAGCTTTCAATTTTATATCAAGTTTTTAAAAACGGATTTTTATCTCGTAATTGGTTGGAAATATTGATTATGAAATTTTTTTCTTTGCAATAATTATTTACTCCAATGTATGTGTAAACGTTACTAAAATTATCAAATTTTTTTTTATTTTTTCTTAATAATTCATTTGCCAATGTTAAATTTATAATATAATAATTTATAATATTTAATAAAATAGAATCAATAAAACATTACTTTGAACACTTTTTGAACATGTAAAATAAAATGCCTTTATTTTTTTACATAGGTTTTGAAAAACCATCCGCCATTCAACAACGATCCATTAAACCTATCATGAAGGGTAGAGATGTGATAGCTCAGGCGCAATCTGGTACAGGAAAAACTGCTACTTTCTCAATTGCGATATTACAGTCACTAGATACTCAAGTACGAGAAACTCAGGTTCTAGTTCTCTCACCTACTCGGGAACTTGCAACTCAAATTCAGAAAGTTATACTTGCACTGGGAGATTTTATGAATGTACAATGCCATGCTTGCATTGGTGGCACAAATCTTGGGGAAGATATCAGGAAACTTGATTATGGACAGCATGTTGTATCTGGAACACCTGGCAGAGTATTTGGTAAATATATATATTACAAAATATTATAAAAAAAATTTTGACTACGTATATATAATTAAGGAAGAATTATTAACATTGTTATTTATGTAAAATATTGAAACTTTTAGATATGATTAAAAGGAGGGTACTCAGAACTAGAGCTATCAAAATGTTGGTACTAGATGAATCTGACGAAATGTTGAACAAAGGCTTTAAGGAACAAATTTATGATGTGTATCGATATCTTCCACCAGCGACACAAGTTGTTTTAGTTTCGGCCACTTTACCACATGAAATTCTTGAGATGACTAGTAAATTTATGACAGATCCCATTCGTATTCTTGTCAAACGGTAAATAATTTCCATAATTTCTTGAAAATTTTTATAGGTAAACATGAAATTTTATCTTATTTATAACTATTCATAATTTCAGTGATGAACTGACGTTGGAAGGAATCAAGCAGTTCTTTGTTGCTGTAGAACGAGAAGAATGGAAATTCGACACATTATGTGATTTGTATGATACATTAACGATAACACAAGCTGTTATCTTTTGTAATACTAAACGTAAAGTAGACTGGTTAACGGAAAAAATGCGAGAGGCTAACTTTACAGTATGTTCTATGCATGGGGATATGCCACAGAAGGAACGAGACAACATAATGAAAGAATTTCGATCTGGTCAGAGGTAGGATTTAATTCCAAGGATAATGATGAATGTTTTTATAAAAAAATTGTAACATATTCCTTTTTTTTTTTACTAGTCGGGTATTGATTACAACGGATGTTTGGGCGAGAGGAATCGATGTTCAGCAGGTATCGCTCGTAATTAACTATGATCTGCCTAACAATCGTGAATTATATATTCACAGAATAGGTCGATCGGGACGTTTCGGTCGTAAAGGTGTATCAATAAACTTTGTAAAAACTGATGATATAAGAATTCTCCGAGATATCGAGCAATATTATTCTACACAAATAGACGAAATGCCGATGAATGTGGCAGATTTGATATAAGTGTGAAATTTATGACTGGACTGAATATTTTTCGCACACAAAGAATTCTTTAACTTTATTTGTAATATTTACAAAATAGAATATGCCTCTATAAGTAACATTATATGTCAACAGTTTCCAAATTAGTTTGCTTAAGAATCTTTGACAAATGTCATAACCTTAAGTTATTTTTTTCTTTTAACATAAGTAGAATAAATGGAGAAAAATAATTCCATTTTTGTATCATATAAATGATAAAATTATAGTATATAAGAAGATTAGACTAATAATATTTGTTTTTATATCTATTAAGATGCATCATTGAGAAAAATAAATATTTTCTTTTTTTATGAAAATGAGATAAGGCTTTCTTTTGTATACAAACTTCTAGAGAAAGATTTTATTTGAATACAAAATTATAAGTGAGATAATTTGGTTAATAAAATAATTATATATCTTATAATTTTAATTAATCTTTTTTTTCTCTCTATAAATATTTCAATGTAGAAGTGAACAATGTCATGATGATGTGTAGAGTATAGTCTATATACATACATACAAAATAATCAATAACTGCTGTAGCTGCTTTACAGTTCAGATGGCAGCGCGGCATAGCACAGTAACACACGTTAAGCCCAAAATGAAGTCAAAATAGACCAAAAATTTTGTTGATCATGTGTGACCTTAAAAATATCAGTGAACATTGTTTATCGCGTTAAAAATGTGGGCGAAATATTTAGCACGCCATAATGAACATGATAAGAGTAATCATTTATTTTCGTGATAAAAACATTGAAAGTGTATTATGAATGTGCAGCTTTATAAATAATATATATATATATATGTATTAATTAAATTATTTTAAGTAAAGAGGGTAAATATTTATTTTATTAATAACATGAGTGAATAGACTGACAATTATAGATCACTGTGCATATGTAGTTTTAATAATTTTTACATTTCGATTATTTTCTATTACATTAATAGATTCTATAATTGATAAATAATAATATAATATATATAATTAAAAATTAAAAGAAAATGGAGCAACAAAATGATTGCACAATTCAGAGAGGACAACCGTTACGTCGTTATCCAAATGACTACAAAACAGATGGACTCCCCACCTGTACGTATTTATAAATTTTTTTAGGATTATAATTGAGATTTTTCAATATTTATTTTCTTCTTTTTTTTTTGTTTATAGTAAATAAAACAGTGACGAATCAGCCGCAGTATTCGAATACAGGAAGACCTACGATACGCATAGCTGTTTATCTAATGACAGGGGTATTTTTAACGATGGAGGTTGAACAAAACGTGACTGCACAACAGATTTTCACGATAGTGCAGTCAGAACCGGAACTAGGTCTATCGAGATTTTCTTTGGTAACCACTACGCCAGTGTTTGCATTGTGGATGTGTTGTTCGCAGCTGGAGATTCAGCTACGTCCAACACACAGGCCTGTGGAATTGGCCGCGAAGTGGAACTATCTTGTAAACAAATACAGTTCTAATACGGAAAACTCTGATGATGAGGAACCTTTGCTATACTTTCGTAGAAATGTATTTCTCTCTAGGGTAGAGGAGGAACAGATTAAAGATACCAAAGTGCTTGAATTACTCTATGCAGAAGCCAGGCATAATGTCCTGCAAGGTCTGAAACGAAAGAAGTAAGATCCTTTCTAAAGAAATAATTTCTTTTTACAATATAAATTTAACTTCTGTCCAGGACGCTACGCGTGTGATGGTCCTGCACGTTATGCCAGTTTAGGAGCGTTACAGGCCCGAATTGAACTTGGGCCTTATAATGCACAAACCCACACATTGGCATTTTTCCATAGACATCGCGGCCGATTTTTACCACATCATTATGCCTCTCCCAGTCTTTTATTAGGATTGGGACTTGGATTGGGATTGATAGGTGGCAAAGGAGCACCTGAAGCACATCTTCTGGAGCAATACAAGCGAATACCCAGTCACAACGGTAGTGCTAACGCCAATCCCAAAAAATTGATCAGAAAGTATCTTGAGTTCTGTTGGAACTTGCCGTGCTATGGAGCAGCCTTTTTTCAAGGGCAAATCGAGCGACCTGTCAGAGGACTCGCATCATGGATTACTAATCGCGATATGCAGATCCTCATTGCAATCAATATATCAGGAGTGTACATTGTTGATGACATGCAGTGCGTAAGTGTGGTATATCGTGTCGTGAACCTCATTTAAAACGCAATAATTTTGAATGAAATTTCATATAAGATACATTTATAGAATATATAGCATAGTAACATTTAAAATATATTTATGTAGAGCTTGCTATTAGGGCTAAAATATTCGGAATTAAGCTGGGAAATGGCGAAACCCTCGGATGAAAATAATCCAGATTGCCTGCCTTGCTTATTTCTGCAATTTCCAGTACGAGAAAACGGAGCGCGTGTCTTTAAGATTCTACAAGTATTCTCGAGACAAGTATAAATTGTTTTTTTAATATATAATTATTCTTATAAAAACAGAACATGATACAATAGATAATCACTATTTCAGGCACCAATGATGGATACTTTAATATCCGGCTTCGCCGAGGATTTTCGTCGTCAATTTATTAACAGCGATAACAACAACGACCAACTAGATCATCCGCTAGTTTCCCCTAGTGGAAGTTTTACAAATAAACTTAGTAAATTCACGCTGGCCACTTTTGATGATGAAGGTAATGATTATTATGTAATTTAATAATTATCAGAATATCAGAATCGTCATCTATCAATTTATTTACTTTTCAAAATCATTCTAGGTCGATGCATTGGTCAAATGGGTTCGTGGTCCTTTCGGTAAATACAGTGTGATTATACATTTTATGATGCCAATATATTCCTTGATGATACAAAATGAATACGATTTTTGTAATAAATAAGAAAACGTTCTTACACAATCTAATATACTTACGTAATATACACTTTTCTATATAATTTCTCAATATTCTTTCACTCAATATTCTTTTACTTCTGGAGTACTTGGAGATGCGGATTTTGCTGTAAACGATCTATCAATATTCTATACCTCTGCTGGACTGAATCCCTATATCGATTGAGATACGTTTCCAGCACATGCATATTGAAACTTATCTCATTTATCTTGGCTAATATCTGTTCCTCCTCCGCTTTCGGTAAATCCACAGACTGCATGTAAATATTACAAAAATTATATGAAAATTACATCGATGATTTATATGAAAGAGTGTGAGTATACAAAACACAGACACATCTATAAAATATTGGACTACTAACTTTCAATTTTTCATTATATACAATGTTGCTTATTTAAGTGCCTTATTTAAAAGCGTTATACAAAATGAATGCACAATATTTAATCTCTATCTTTATGCACGACTATACTTTATATATATACATATTGTATTCGTAAGTATATTTTGTGATCATAATTTTAAAAAATGCTAAGCCAGTGCGAAATTTTTAATAAATCTAAATATTGGAAATAAAAATAAGAAGTATCTATTCAAAAAATATCTATTCACATTTACAGAAAAGAAAAGCTCTGATTAATGTAAGAAAATAAATTGTAAATATATAAATATAGGTTATATATTAGATTATATAGCTGGTAAAAAATTATATATATAT